CAAGTTCTGGAAGCTGAAGCCTGAGCCTGAGGATCTAGGTAAGGAGGTCATGTCAAATTGGTGCTGTCTGGAGAATACAGGCAACCCCGTAGAAGCCTGTGGTGGACAGGTCAGTTTGGTTTCACTGACTGTGTGCCAGATAGGCCTTGTGCTAGGGACCAGAGATACCAAAGTGAATCAAACACAAACCTGGTCCTCACTGGGCTCGCAATTTTTCTGCACAGATGGGCAAAGATAATTTAAATATAACTTTATAAGTGTCATGATTCATTCAGCTATATTCAGCCTCCATATATTTGACTGTCTTCTGGGAAGGTTTTTGGAAGGACTGATCACCCAGCACCTGCTTCAGTGTGGACTCTGGGACCTGGGTGTGTCTACATGATCTATGATGCCATGACCCTGCAGGTTATAGCATGCCTAATGAGTGGAATGGTCAATCACATGATCAAAGCATGACACTTAGATGCATTGTTCATTTCTGAATATGCATTTACAAATAAAGGACAGAAAGTTATAATAGATATAACTTTGAATGAAGATTCTTCTTATGTGCTTTGTATATCAAGGTTCTGGCAGTCTCTGATGGAGCAAAATGTATACAGGCATACTTTGGAAGTATTGCAGGTTCAGTTTCAGACCACCAAAATAAAGCAGGTGGCACAAATTTTTTGGTTTCCCAGTGCATGTAAAAGTTATGTTTATATCATACTATAGTATATCAAGTGTGCAATAGCATTATATTGGAAAAACCAATGTACATACCTTAATTTAAAATACTTTATTGCTGAAAATGCTAACAATCACCTGAACCTTCAGCGAGTCACAATCTTTTGGTTGGTGGAGGGTCTTGCCTCAATGTTGATGGCTGCTGATTGATCAGGTGGGTGGCTGCTGAAGGTTGGGGTGACTGTGGCTATTTCTTAAAATAAGACAACAATGAAATTTGCCTCATTGTGACTCTTTTTCATGAAAGATTTCTCTGTAGCATATGATGCTATGTGTTAGCATTTTACCCTTAGTACAACTTCTTTCAAAATTGGAGTCACTCCTCTCAAACCCTGCTGATGCTTTATTAACTAAGTTTATGTAATATTCTAAATCTTTTGTTGTCATTTCAACAATGTTTACAGCATCTTCACTAGAAGTAGATTCCATCTCAAGGAACCACTTTCTTTTCTCAACTACAAAAGGCAATGCCTCATCCATTCAAGTTTTATCGTGAGACCCAGCAATTCAGTTGCTTATTCAGGTTCTATTTTAAATTCTAGTTCTTTTGTTGTTTTAACCACATCTGCAGCTGCTTCCTCCACTGAAGTCTTGAACCCCTCAAAGTCATCCATGAAGGTTGGAATCCAGATTCTTGTTAATGTTAATATTTTGACCTCTCCACATGAATCATGAATGTTCTTAATGGCATCTAGCATGGTGAATCTTTTCCAGAAAGTTTTCGATTTGCTTTGCCCAGATTCATCAGAGGAAGCACTGTTTATGGCAGATATAGCCTTACAAAATGTATTTCTTAAATAATAAGACTTGAAAGTCAAAATCACTCCACGATCCATGAGCTGCAGAATGGATGCTGTGTTAGCAGACATGAAAACAACATTAATCTGCCTGTACATCTCCATCAAAGCTCTTGGGTGACAAGGTATGTTGTCAAAAAACAGTAATATTTTGAAAGGAACCTTTTATTGTGAGCAGTAGGTCTCCACAGTGGGCTTAAAATATTCAGTAAAACAGATGTGCTGTCATCCAGGCTTTGTAGTTTCATTTATAGAACACAGGTAAAGTAGATTAAGTTGAATTCTTAAGGGCTCTAGGGTTTTCAGAATGATCAGTGAGCATGGGTTTCAACTTAAAATTACCAGCTGCATTAGTCCTTACATGACAAGAGAGTCAGCCTGTCCTTTGAAGCTTTGAAGCTAGGCATTGAATTCTCTCTAGCTATAAAAGTCCTAGATGGCATCTTCTTCCATTAGAAAGCTGTTTCTTCTATGTTGAAAATCTGTTGTCTAGTGTAGTCACCTTCATCAGTTATCCTAGCTAGATTTTCTGGATAACTTGATGCAGCTTCTATATTTGTACTTGCTGCTTCACCTTTCACCGGCTTCTTTCCTTAAACCTCATGAACCAACCTCTGCTAGCTTCCAACTCTTCTTCTGCAATGTTCTCACCTCCTTCAATCTTGATAGAATTGAAGAGAGTTAGGGCCTTTCTCTGGATCAGGCTTCGGCTTAAGGAAATGTTGTGGCTATTTTGATCTATCTAGAACTCTTCACTGAAACTTTCTGCATATCAGCAAGAAGGCTGTTTTGTTGTCTTACTATTCATGTGTTCACTGGAGTAGCACTTTTAATTTCCTTCAAGAGCCTTCCCTTTGCATTCACAGCCTTGCTAACTGTTTAGTGCAAGAGGCATAGCTTTCAGCCTATATTGGCTTTTGATGTGCCTTCTTTACTAAGCTTAATCATTTCCATTTAAAGTGAGAGCTGTGTAACCCTTCCTTTCACTTGAACCTTACAGGCCATTGTAGTGTTATTAGTAGTTCTCATTTCAATATTATTGTGTCTCAGGGAATGAAGAGGCCTGAGGAGAGGAGAAAGACAGGAGAGCAACAGTCGATGGAGCAGTCAGAGCACACAACATGTATCATTTAAGTTTGCCATCTTCTAGGGACACAGTTCATGGCTCCTGAAAACAATTACAATAGTAACATCAATGATCACGGCTCACTGATCACCATAACAGATGTAATAGTGAAAAAGTTTGCAGTATTTCAAGAATTTCCAAAATGTGGCATAGAGACACAAAGTAAGTCCATCCTGTTGGAAAAAGGATACCATTAGACTTGCTCGATGCAGGGTTGCTACAAACTTTCATTTTGTAAAAAACACAGTATCTGCGAAACAAAATAAAATGAAGCATATTAAAACAAGGTATGTCTGCAATTGTTATGGCAAAATGCTATGATAACTACTGATAACAATAAAAAATTATTAATTTCAAATACAAAATAATTCCCATACCTTTCAAACAGTTAATAAATGGAGAGATAGTATGATGCTAATATAGATATTTTAAAAGGGGTAGGCTAGCTAGATAACTTTAAAACCTAATAGCCTCTTTGAGCCAACAAATCTTTAAAAAGTTTGAATAATAATACATGACAGGATAATAGAGAATAGTTCCGATTAGAATGCCCTTGCTTGTAGAATTATTTGTCACACTTCTTAAATAACCTTAAAGAACTTAACGATATTTACTTTCCATTTCGGCCATGAGTCTTGGGAGAAATGTTTTATTTGGAAGGCACCACCTCTTGTGAGGATGAATTTAAAAAATTAAAATGCCAAGTTTCCCCTCTCAAAGGGGAAAAACCTCCCAAATCATGTGAAGCACCATCTATGCTAAGTCCTCAGACGTAAAAGAGATACATAATAAGAAGAAAATAACAGCGTGTAGGAGAACGGTATGATACTCAAACTGTATTTTATTCTAGTGGATCAAACTGTAAGAAACAGACTTCACAGAAACCCATTTCAGCCCTGGGGCACCAGAGGCCTCACTCTGCTTAGTGCCTTTCAGAGAGGAAGAACAACCCCGGAGGTGGTGGCAGCATCCATGCCAGTGGTTGCTATGGCACCGCTGGCCAGAAAGTGCCCTGCTCCTCCATTCCTCAGTGCAAGTGCCTCGAATAGTCACCATAGTGACTGCTGCAGTGGATGGCACTGGAAAATCACTGGGCAGCACTCTGACATCAAAGATTTGAAATTCAACTATTCATTTCATTTTCTTTCTTTTCTTTTTCTTTAAGAGACAGGGTCTCATTCTGTCACCCAAGCTGGAGTGCAGTGGCGTGATCCCAGCTCATTGAAACCTCAAACTCCTTGAAGTGGACTAAAGCGATCCTCTTGCCTAGCCTCCTGAGTAGCAGGAACTATGAGCAAGCACCCCCACGCCTGGCTAATTTTAACTTTTTTTTTTTTTGTAGGGACAGGATCTCATTGCCCAGGCTCTGGCTAGTTTTTATTTTTATTTTTTATTTTTTGTAGAAATGGGGGTCTCACTGTATTGCTCAGGCTGGTCTTGAACTCCTGAGCTTAAACAATTTTTCTGCCTTGACCTTCCAAAGTATTGGGATTACAGGTATAAGCCACCATGCCCAGCCTATTAATATTTTTAATAATACAACTGTAATAATAAGTCAATCATTGATAGAATTTGAGATCCTTCAGGCCTCACCCACGTTGTTCCAAAACTGCTATGGTCACTAGCTCTGCATGGCCCCAATGAGCTTCATGTAGGTGCCGACATCAGCGCCTGGCCTCAGGCCCACGCATGAGCCTCTCACGTCCACCTGGGCTTCCCTGTTGGCTCCAAGGGACCTCACCACATGCCCTGCTTGAGCAGCCTGTGGTCCAGGGGAGTTAGTACCCGCTGTGGGGGCAGCAACCAACTGATGATGGGAGCTGGTGAATAAGTTCTTCCCCTTTCCACTGACCATACATAGCCCTGAGACACTGCTCATGTATTTCTCAGGGACTAGTCCCGCAGGATCCAACAGTCAGCACACATGGCTGTGGCCACTTCGGTAATGCATCCTCCTCTTGGCTCTTCCTCTGTGGTGGATTTAAAAATATGTCCACAAGTTCTTTGATATTCATCCACTCAACAGATGGAGTTCCACTTTTCTCCCCTTGAGTGTGGGCTGTATTTATTGCCTCCCTTGTAGAGAATAGATTTTGGCAGAAGGGATGAGATGTCACATCCAAGGTTAGGTTATGAAACCACTCTGGCTTCCTTGTTGGGGTCTCTCTCTCTCTCTCTCTCTCTGTTAAGGGGTGAATTGTTTTCCCTCAAAATTCACATGTTGAAGCCCTAGTCCCTGTGCCTCAGAATGGGACTGTATTTGGAGATAAGGTCATGATCAAGGTTATTAAGCTAAAATGAGGCCACAAGGAAGGTCTCTAATCCAATGTGACTGTTGTATTTTTCAGAAGAGGATGTCTGGACACTCAGAGAGACAGCAGGGACACCCATGCACAAAGGAAAGGCCATGTGAGGACGCTGTGAGAAGGCGGCTGTCTGCAAGCCAAGGAGAGAGGTCTCAAGAGAAACTGGCCTGGCAGCCACCTTGCTCTCAGACTTGTAGCCTCCAGAATGGTGAGAAAACAAACTTCTGTTGTTTAAGCCACACAGTCTGTAGTACTTTGTTATGGCAGCCCAAGCACACTAATACACACTCTCTCAAATTCCTCTTTCTCATCACTTGCTCTGGGGGAGGCCAGCCACTGAGCCCAGCCTCCCAGGTTCCTGCCCCTCAAAACCTTGTGGGATGATAAATGCTTGTTGTTTTAAGCCACTGAGTGTGGGGGTAATTTGTTACACAGCAATGGAAAGCTAATGCCCCCTCCTTCCTTACCTCCTTGCCCTTGTCTTCACCCCTGTGCCCAGGGATGGTCCCTATGGAGTGATATAATTCTCATAAATCCTCTGACTCAGGCCCTACATTCTGGGGGAAACAGACTAGGATCATCCCAGATTTCCTCTGTGAGGCTCACGGTCTGCTGTGACCTTGGCTTTGGTTGATTCTTGCCTTTTAACATTTACCTATTCAGGATCGGGTCAGAATGTGTATTCAGTGCACCTCGAAGTCATGTCATGGAATCAAAATGTATTAATCAAACCCCTACTGTGCGCGGAGACTGTGCTGGTCCTGAAATAGAAGATGGTTAGGAAAAGCAGGTATGCTCCTTTCCCCAGGATGCACCCAGGAGTTGGGGGGCACCTGTAATCAAATATGTATGACTTCATGAGGAGCCTCCTGAGATTCCAGCCCTCCTCTAAGCCCACGGGGTGTGCACTTGGCAGAGCCTACCTAGAGGCTTTGGGACCCCCTCCTTTCTAGCCTCTCTTTCTAGCCTCCCTTTCATGAAAAGGGAGTGTCATTTATGACACTCAAGAGCTCAGCCCCTGAATGTGTAGTTCTAGTTTCCTATGTCTTCCATTTCCTCCTTTCCACAGGTGCTTTTTGAGAACTGCTATTTGAGAGACCAGGTGGAACAGTGGTTATAGGCAGAGACTGAGGGGTAAGACTGACCAGGCTTCAATCATGGCCCTTCTTCACTAGCTGCAGGACTTAGGAAAGGTAAGATGCCCCAGATCCCTGATTTCCCCATCTGTGATGTCTTGTGAGCATCAATGCTTATCATAGATTTTATGGTGTTCTGGATAGAACCTGGCATATAATAACTCTTAGCTATTAGCATGTGCTTAGCACAAAGGAGGGAGTCAAACAAGAAGTAATCTGTACCTCCAAGAAACTATGAACATGGGGGCACTCACATCAACACGTCTAGCTGTTTTGGAGGCCTTGAACACAGTGCCTAGTGCCCAGCACAGTGCCTAGGTCTGGCTGGAGTGCAGTCAAAGCTTGTTGAAGAAACCCAGTTGTGCTAGTCTGAATCATGGCCCTCAAAGATGTCCACATTATAATCCTCAAAACCTGCAAAACTGTTCCCTTACATGGTAAAAAAGGCTTTGCAAACATGATAAAGTTAGGGATCCTGAGATGAGAGATCATTCTCTATTATCTATGTGAGTCTATTGCAATCACAAGGTCCCTAGAAGAGGAAGGTGGGAGGATCAGAGTCAGAGGAGGTAGGACAGGAAGCAGAGATTGGAGTGATGTGGCCATGAGCCACAGAATGCAGGTGGCCTCTAGAAGCTAAAAGAGGCGAGGAACAGATTCTCCCCTGGAGCTTCCAGAAGGAACCAGCTCTGTCAACACCTTGACTTTAGCCCTCTATGATTCATTTTTGACTTCTGGCATCCAGAAATGTTAACAGTAATTTTTGTCCTTCTAAGCCACAAAGTACCTGGGAATTTGTTATGGCAGCAAGAAGAAAAACAATATACCAGTCTCATACTCCCTGGGGAGTTGGTGATGAGAGAGTCGGTTCCCCTCACAAAGGAACTTTGTTCCTCTCTGGGGGGCCCAGCCAGCTTAAGAGGCTTAGGAAGGGAGAGAGCCAAGGTTCAGAGGTGAGGAGTCCTGTTTCCCCTGCGTCCCTGGCAAAGGGCCTCCAGTGGAGGAGGTGTGGGGTCTCACACTGCGGCCTCCCCGGGATTGGCCTGGAGAACAGGTCGTGGGATGCGCCAGTGCCCTGAGCAGGGCTGCCTGTTTCCAGGGAGCAGGAGAGCTGGGGCAGCTTACGGAGTGCGCCCCAGTCCGTGTAGGAGGTGGGTGCGAACAGTGTAAGGGCGGCAGTACACCACGACCGAGGTACCCAGGAATAGATCCTGTGCTGGCCCCAGATTCTTTCTGGAGGAAGTGAGGTCCTCACACCGCACCCACAGTTAGAGCAGAACAGGTCTTTTACAGCCTGACAGAGAAGACGTCACTCTCCAGAGCTGGAAGACCTAGCTTTTGATGCTGGCTCTTGCTCATTGCCCGTGTGACCTTCAGCTAATCCCATAACCTCTCCAAGCCTCAGTTTTCTCAGCTGTAAAATGAGACTAATAAAAGTAGTAGTAGCAGTAATAATCATCATAATAAAAAGTATCTAACACTCCCTGAGGGCCTAAACATGCTGGGACATTCTAGATACTATTTTATTCCAGATACTAAGCACATTCTAGATACTATTTTATTCCAGATACTAAGCACATTCTAGATACTATTTTATTCCAGATACTAAGCACATTCTAGATACTATTTTATTCTAGGTACTAAGCACATTCTAGATACTCTTTTATTGAGATTCCATCCCAGAACACTCCGCTGGGGTGGGTCCTAGTTTTCTCCCCTTTCTAAAGATAACAGGATTTATCCCAGGGAGTTGGATTGAGTTTTAATTCAATGAGTTAACATTTATCAATCTTTTCCTGGCATATGGTAGTATACACAGTAAATGACATATCTGTTATTATTATTATTTTTCCCCCATGGAGAGCCAGGATCCCCCAGATTCTTCCATGCATTTTGTGATGAGTTTGAGCCCCTCTGAAGGCTGCTACAGATGCTCTGTGAGTCACGCAGATCATTTGGTTTACTTCTTAGTGCCCAGCTTAGCACTGGGCATGCCGTGGGAGCTGGGGCAGCAGGTCTGGGCTGCATTTCTAGCAGAGTGTACGTGGGCACCAAAGCCCTTTCACAGATGTGGTTTGATTTTTACCCCTTGGATTGGTCCATAAACCTCAAGGCCTCTTCTGAATGATAAAAGCAGTGATCAGATTAGCTTTTCCTCCTGCACCCTGCAAATGACTTTTTAGTGTGTCTGTCCCAGGTGGCTTGGATGTCCAAAGCCCATTGGAGCCAGGCAGTTGATTCAATGGTGAACATTGTTCTCCCTGGGAGCCAAGCCCAGCCACCTCTCAGGAGTGCATGTCTCTGAGCATTGCTTGGTTCCAGCAGCATGAATCTCAATTTCTTTTGACTCAATAGCAGTAGAACCCTCCCTTGGAAGTTACACTGGGTGAAGTATTGATTGGAGCAGATGTAATGGACTGATAAGCTTTCTGAGTGCTGAAGAATATTGGCTTCTTATAAGTGTCTTGGCATTTGTGGATCTCCTCTCATTGGGTCCTAGATGAAGCCCCACTGGGGCTGTCCTCTGTAATCAGAAGGGCAGGCTTCACTCTGTGAGATTGGGTTACACTTCAAGCATCTGCCTCCCCAGGTTTTTGGGTGAAATCATTTTCAACCTGAATGCTTACTGGTTGACAAGCTACATACTGTCATCCTGATGGATGGGATGGTGGGAGAAAAGCTACCATCCCATTAAGGGCACAGGTTAACTGAGGGTGATGGATTTTCCATAGCTCTGAGAAAGTCTACAAATCCTTTGTATAAACACTAGCTTGACAGTGAAAACAATTTTCCCTTCTTTTGTTGAGGGCAGCAGACAGAGTAAATATTGACAGATGGACAGGTGTGCTTTGCTAAGAGGCCCACGGCAGGTAAACGAAGCAGGGGAGGAATGCTTTGGTTGAGTCATTATCAACAGAGGGAAAGCCATTCTCTTTGGGCTCTGTGTTTGGTATGATGGAGATTTTATGAGCCTGAAGAGGCAAGTTGGAACTCTGTGAGACAGTTAAGTCACAACTAGGGCTTGACTTTACCCACCTCCACCCCCGCAAGATTCTGATGCAGAGGGCCTGAGGTGGAGCCCAGGCATCCATCTGTATGTTTACAAAGCTTCCCAGTGGTTTTGGGGGATGTGGTCCAAGGTGGTGAGCCCTCTTAAGACAAAAATGTTTGTGTTTAGTGTGACCCTACTCCCCAGGCATTTCCTAAATATGCTGTCTGGTCCTGAGAGCTTGGGGACAGTGTAGATGACGCAAAGATACTACCTTAACCTAAAACTTTTAGAATGTTCAACTTGGACATTGCTGGGAAGAGAGCCTCATCAGGTACAAAGGTGGATGTCCCAGTTGGCTTTCAAAGACCCTCAAATTAAAATCCAAACCCTGATAGGCCCCACCTGACCTGCCTAGCCCTCTATCAATCTCTCTGTCCTCTCTGCCCCTTGCTCCCTGCACTTTAGGCTCTTGTCCTGATGAGTTCCTTTCTCCTCTGGCCCCCTCCACACAGGCTGTTCCCTCAGCCTGGATGCTCTTGTCCCGCTTTCTGTAAGGCCATCTCTGAACAATCCCCGGAGTTCAGAAGGTGTTCCCCATTATTCTCCCTCCTCATACTCTGTTTTCTTATTTATGAAAGTGGCTGTTTTTTGCTTATTGATCATCTCCCACATCAGACTGTAAGTTCCATGAAAGCAGAGGCATTTTTTATTTCTACTACCATTGTGTCCTCAGAGCCCATTGGACTTCCCAGCACATAGTATGTGTTCAATATAGGTTTATGTGGTGGCTGAATGAATCCACACAGAGCTGAAAGACTCACCATCTGTATTAGTCTGTTTTCATGCTGCTGATAAAGACAAACCTGAGACTGGGTAATTTATAAAGAAAAAGAGGTTCCACGTAGCTGGGGAGGTCTCACAATCATAGCAGAAGGGGAAAAACACTTCTTACATGGCAGAGGCAAGAGAGAATGAGAGAATCAAGCAAAAGGGATTTCCCTGTATAAAACCATCAGATCTCGTGAGACTTATTCACTACCAGGAGAACAGTATGGAGGAAACTGCCATCATGATTCAAAGATCTCCCACAGGGCCCCTCCCACAACATGTGGGAATTATGGGAGCTACAATTAAAGATGAGATTTGGGTAAAGACATAGCCAAACCATACCACCATCCATCCTCAAAGGGACCTAGAGACCACAGCCTGATGTTTCAAGAGTCCAAGCTATTTTTTCTAAGAAAGGAACAGTTAGTGTGAAATAATGAAGTCGCATTCTTGGCTTCCTTAGTAGATGGCCCTCACGGTCTTCTGGCATTGCTTTTTCCCGTTGAGTCATCTCTCTCCCATTTCATTCTAGGCTCCCGCCCACCTTCCCTCACTCATGCCATGCCCTTATTTCCTTCTTTAGTGAAAATCACAAACCACTGAGAAAAAAACTTCTCTCAATGTTCTCACTCCTTTCTCCTTCCCATCTTCATTTATGCCCATATCTTTCCTACCTTATAGTCTCTCAGAGGCTGAGATGTCTTGTACTGAGGGTAGAACTAGGTCTGGCAAGGGGGCTGGAAGACACGTGGGTCCTGGAAGAAGGTGGCAAGCAAAGGACAACCTCTAATATTTCCAACTGCCTTTGGCACCCTCCACCTTCTAAATTAGCCTTGGTGGGAAAGTAGGGGCCCACGCCAGGCGGGGGCTACCATAAGCCATCTCTTGTCACCAAATCCTTCCTCTGTATATACCTTTCCACCAAGTCATATGATACAGATGAAACGAAGTTTGCCTTCAAGGTGTTTAGAGTCAAATTTAAGAATCAGGTTAAGTATCTCAACCTCGAAACACACACACACACGACAAAAAAATAAAGATGGACAGAAAGGGGATCCATTGTATTGTTAGATCAAAAGTTTAAAAATATAAACCTAATTGAATTCATGCTTTATGGAAATAGCTTTTAAGTGGTAAATCAGATTAGCACAGTAGCATAAGATTGCAGGAAAGACAAGAAGATAAGGACTTTGGTTTGTATCCTACTTTTACTATTTGCTAGATGTTGGTAAGTCACG